TGTTTATTTACTAAATATGAGATGTTTCGAAGTTGCTGTTTTATTTAAAGATGTTATTGAAGAATTCCGTTGCATAGTTGTTGAATTATTTAATGAAAGATGTTATGTTGATGGTTCACCCGATGTTTTGAAAAAGTGTTATATATCCATGATGAATGCAATGAATTTGTTAGAAGAATTTGTGACGTCCCAATTCATTCGTATGATTGAAATTTTATAACTCTGGTTTAATTGCATAATTGCTTGGGGTGGAATTGGGGTGTTACAGACGATGCCTGTACGGATCGCGGATCGTGAAACTAAGACTCTGAGGGGAAAGGAAATTGATTTGGTTAAAGTGGTTTGGCTAGGAGCTGTCGAAAAAAGCATGACTTGGGAGTTGGAGAGCAAGATGTGAGACTCCTACCCTGAGTTGTTTGATTAAGGTAAATTTTCGAGGACGAAAATATTCTAAGTGGGGGATAGTTGTAATTCCCGTAATTTAATTAATTATTTAATTAAATTATTTTTGGAGTAATTGTGAAGTTGTGTTGTGATTAATTGGATTTAATTTATTTTATTAAGTGGTGAAATAATATTAGAAGAATGATATTATGTTGATGTGGGCTTGTTTTTAAGGAATAGAAGTAGTAACGAGGAGGTGTATTAGTTTTGAGCCCATTAAAGAATAAAGAGAATAATAGGTTATTTTATTATTTTTAGAAAGAATAGAAAAGAAGAAGCAGTAAGAGGAATAAGGGTTAGAGGAAGAACGTGAAAGTTGTTGGAAAAAAAGGAAAGAGGCAGAACGGAATCAATTGGAGTAAGTTATAGAGCAACCTTCAATCCAAGGTAAGGGTGGGGTTCTGACTCTATAATTGGGTTCATGATAATTGGTATGTGGGGTTAGATGTGAAAGTGTTGTTTTGTTCATGATTGAATTATATGTTGTTATATGATGAGAATTGATGATTGAAAGATGAATGATGATGTCCCGATAGTGTTTATTTGATGTGGAATTGTAGGATAATCGTAAGAAATGACTTTCTATGATTAGGAGATCTTTTTAGGGCTTAAAGTATGGAACCCGTAGTGAAAACACAGAGAAAATCACTGAAATTACCCATGACAGAGCAGTATGCGTCGACCCCAAATGGAAGGTGTCGATGCAAGCAGGTCTTTAGACTCAAGATGAGTCGACACGAAGGAGTCTTGTGTCGATACATGAGGACTTTAAGACTCAGGATGAGTCGATACGTAGGAGCACGTGTCGATAGATGTTGTATGGTAGACTCAGTATGAGTCGATACAAGAGAGCATGCGTCGACTCTTGTTGTGAGTTTAGTGCAGTACGCGTCGATCTAAGACGTTATGCGTCGATCCATGTTGTCTAGTTTTTGGCAGAATTAGTTTGAGAATGTTGAAACTTGAGTTTTCTGACTCTGTTTGAGGTGTCGTTTGAAGCGTTGAATGGCTAACGCAATGAACTTCATTCTTAAGGATTAAAACGAAGAATAAGAAGGATAATCCTAGTATCTAAAATAGGATTAGAGTTAGTTACCGCAGTAATCATTATGTTGGTTTTTGTGAAGAAGGATGAGGATGAGACGTTTATAGAGTACTGTCTGGTTTGTAACAGTAGGATTAATGATAATAATGAGGTAATATTGCAGAATAGTAGTATGTAGTGATTTGGTGATTTAGAAGTAAGCCTTAGTTGATTAACTAATTATAGGCAATATCTTGTATAGGCATGTGGCCAACATTGTGAAATTGACGAGTTACTGACATATCATTGTACGGCTGAGTTGTTGATGAGATGATGTTAATGAGAGTTTGTTTTAACGAATTATGATGTATAAATGATGTTTGATGATTTATGATGATAAATAATGTCGATGAATGATGTTGATGAAGAGATGTTGAGATGCTTTTAAGATGTAGGCCTTTGACCAACGATGGTGTTGTATTGAGATGTTGTCAATTATGGTGTTGTTATTACATTCATGATTGTGTCGCATACATTACATTTTGAGATGGAGCTTATGCTCGTTGAGATGGCCTGTATTGGCGAATATTGAGATGAAGGCTTATGCCTTGTTGATGCCTCTATTAATTGGCAATTTTTAAGATGGGAGTTCTGCTCCAATGGTACCACATGCATTTGCATTATATTGAGTTGCATTATATGATGTCATAAAGAAGTGTGTATTGATGTTGCGAATGTGTATTATCGTTGTGATTATTGTTGGTTATGAGATGAGAAGTGGTGATGTTATGTGATCTAATTTAATATATTAATTATCATGCGCTTTATTATATTGTTAGATATCTCACCCCTTCTGTTTGAATGTTGCCCTTACGTTGGTAACATGCAGGTAATCAAGAGTGAAGGTTGTATACCTTCAGTAATTCGAGTCGATGTCATTGCTCTGATATGTAACACTCGAGGGGATGAACGCTTGTTGCTTTTGATTGTTGATTATTCAGTTGTTGAACTTTAAGTTGATTATTATTAAGTATGTGTTGTTTTGAAGCTGTTGTAACGATGATAAAGATGTTATTAAGAATTCCGCTGCGTAGATGTTTAACTTGTTGAATTGTTTAATGAAAGTATTATAATGACGGTTCATCCGAAGTTTTAAAGTGTTATATATCCACGACGAATGCAATGAGTTAAGAATGATGAATTTGTGGCATCCTGATTTATTTTGCATGAATGATTTTATAACTCTGATTTATTTATATAATTTCCGGGTAGAATTGGGGTGTTACATAATCAAATTGAGGAGTAAGAGATCTTAATACCTTCTTAATGATTACTTGTTCAAAAAGAGTTTCTCCATATGATTTTATCTCATTTCTGATCAGAATCACTCTAAACATATAATTTGGTACTTTCTCATTGTTCTTCATATCGATATTCTCATACTTCTAACATAAAGATTGAAACTTCACCTTCTTCATTGATGCATCTCTGTTATAGCACCATGTTAGTATAACCCACGCAGCCTTCACCGTTGTTGAATCAACGATTTACTCAAACACATTCGCATCCACACACTGATGGGTGTAGAACAATGCTTTCTGGTTTTTAGTCCTCGTATCTCTTTATGTGTTTCTCTGTTCCTCTATCGCATCTGCTGCAACCAGAATGTAACCGTCAGTGACGAGATCAAGAACGTCTTGAGTACCGAACAACTTACGTTTTTGAATCATCCACTGATTCCAATCCTTCTCATCAAACACCGAAAGCTTTGTATTCAAACTTTTTCTGTTGTTCATCTTCGTTCTTGTGCACTGAAACTCACTTAGATTTCATATCTTACCAAAGAAACATGTTTCTCGATCCCACAAAATCAAGAAATACAATTCTGTTATGATTTCGATAGTAAATTCAATGCAAATTCAAGAAAAATGAAATCCATTACACACGCCTCATGTACACTCGTGTTTCTCTACGAATCGAGACAGAGCTCTAGATAACAATTTTGGAGCACAAAGTTGAATATGAAGATTAAGATGGAAGAAGAGAGGGAGAGAAAGAGAAGAGAGAGAAAACAATTGTAATAAACTTTTGGAGAAAGAGAAACTATATTCACTACTTACTTGTAAAAGTAGTTAAACTATGTTGTTTAAATACAATAAAATCAAAATGACACGTAAGTAAAGTATGTTACACAAGCATTATTAAAACAAGCTAACAAAACAAAGTTAAAGCCGAGAAGCTAAGCAACACAACTTTTGGATCAAAAATCTCAGAAACTTCTGCTTCTGAGTCAGAATATTACTTCTTAATATGAATTACTTCTAACATGAATGATATTTCATAAGGGAAAACGAGAGAATGAAAAAACATACACACACGCACACACACATACAAACACAAACACTTACAGACACACACTTACACACACAAAGATGAATAAAAATTAGAGAAAGGTTAATGGTATTTTATCTATTTTTAATTTATAAAATAACGATAACATTCAGTGAGGGATAACCCCCTCACAACGCATAAATGTAAAAAATTATGAAGGGTAACCCCTACAATACATTATGTCTCCTCAATGTCTGACTACCACTTTGACTCTTGAACTGACGGATACCGCTCATAATCTAAGAAAATTTTAATGTGCCATTAAAGTGTGCTAACGGATACCGCTCATAATCTATAAATTCAAAATACAAGTATTTTAAAAACGTGGGGTTACCCCATGGAATACAAAGTTGAAATATATTTAGAAGAAGTTACCCTTCACAAAACTATTTTTAATTTTTTTCTTAAGATTTTGCATTGCGAGGAGTTTACCCTTAACTACATAATTTTTTTTGCAAGGAGTTTTACCCTTGGAAGGGAGGGAGCTAAAAGTTTTAAATTGTGGGAACAACATATTAAATTATAAATTTTAGCATAATATCTATATTATTTTTATTTCAATAATATATATATATATATATATATATATATATATATATATATATATATATATATATATATATATATATATATATATATATATATATATATAAACCATAAGTATTCATATTTATATACTTCTAGATAAAAATAATTAATTTTTTTAGTTTTTCTATTTAATTTTTTTTGAATTTTTTCTATCCCTTTAGTTTTTCTAGAAGTATATATTATATATATACTTCTCCTTTGAATTTATATATATATATATATATATATTCTAGACATATAAATTCAAAACACAAATATTTATGTATATATCCTTCTAGAAAAAATAAATGGACAGAAAAAAATTTAAAAAAAATAAATAGAAAAACTAAAAAAATTAATTATTTTTATATAAGATCCAAAAAGTCAAAAAAAAATGCGAAATAGAAGAATAAAAGTATAAAAATCTATCTTACGTTTTCATCCAATCAAATATTATTAATATGTCAGCTCATACGTAATCAAATTCACCGTTGCTTTTACAAGAGACACTATATATATCATCACTCACATTCCTTCCTAACAAACTCAATTCTTCCTGGCAAACTCAACAAAAATGACCGCTTTCTTTCTCACCCTTACCTCTCTTTTTTTCCTTATCATCACATTAAAGCTCTTGTTACACACAACAAGATTCAAGAACCTTCCACCAGGCCCACCATTTCTTCCAATAATTGGAAACCTTCATCAACTCAAACAACCCCTCCACCATACTTTCCAAACCTTATCACAAAAACATGGCCAAATATTTTCTCTTTGGTTAGGTTCTCGTCTCGTCGTTGTTGTTTCTTCGTTAAAAACAACACAAGAATTTTTTACCAAACACGATATCGTTTTAGCAAATCGACCTCATTTCTTATTCGGAAAATATATCAACTAGAACTACACCACATTAATACAAGCATCATATGGTGACCATTGGCGCAATCTCCGCCGTATAATAACAACTGAGGTACTCTCATCTAACTGTTTAAATTCCTTCTTGGAAATACGAAGGGACGAGATTATGAGACTTATACAAAAGCTAGCAAGAGTGTCATACCATGATTTTTCAGAGGTAGAACTTACGCCAATGTTTTCAGAATTGACATTCAACACGGTCATGAGAATGATGTCAGGGAAAGGATACTTTGGTGATGATTGTGATGTGAGTGATGTTGAGGAAGCAAGGTTGTTTAGAGAGATAATGAAAGAGATTACGAGTATAGGAGGAGCAACCAACGTTAGTGATTTTTTAGGGTTTTTAAGGTGGTTTGATTTTGATGGTTTGGAGAAGAGTCTTAAAAGGATAAGTAAGAGAGTATATTCATTTTTACAAAGACTCATTGATGAACATAGATTTGGAAAGAGGAACACTAATACTATGTTAGATCATCTCTTAAAACAGCAGCAGTCACAACTTGAATATTACACAGATCAAATCATCAAAGGACTTATTATGGTAAGTATTTACAATTATTTTTTTGTGTAAGTAGTATTAATCACTATAAACTCACTCACGCAATCGTAATTATAATTGTCCAACCTAGGCCAATGAATATTTGTTAATGCTTTGTTAAAATTGAGTTATAAAGGCATAAAAGAAAACAAAAATATTTTCCTAAATTTTGAAGTGATATTGACATTTTGTGTAATGTTTATAGGTTATGCTTATTGCAGGAACTGACACATCATCTATAACTTTAGAATGGGCTATGGCCAATTTATTAAATAATCCAAATATATTAAAGAAGGCAAAAGATGAGTTCGACACCCACATGGGACAAGACTACTTCATAGATGAACATGATATTTCAAAACTTTCTTATCTTCAAAATATTGTTTATGAGACTCTTCGATTACATCCAGCTGCTCCACTATTATTGCCTCATTTTTCTTCAGAAGATTTTACAATTGAAAAATATAATATCCCACAAAACACAATTTTAATGGTCAATGCATGGGCCATTCATAGAGATCCAAATTTGTGGACTGATCCTATATGTTTTAAGCCTGAGAGATTTGAGAAAGAAGGTGAGATAAATAAACTACTTTCATTTGGAATGGGTAGAAGGGCTTGTCCAGGAGAAAATTTGGCTCATCGCACAGTGAGTTTGACTTTAGGCTTATTGATTCAGTGTTTTGAGTGGAAACGTATAGGTAAAGAAAAAATTAACATGGGCGGAAAAAAAAGGAATTACTATGGGAAAAGAGATTTCCTTAAAAGCAATGTGCAAATTGCGTCATCCAATGATGATTAAAAATTCTTTCTAATTTATGAATATTTGCAATTTTTCAATAAAAGATACATGATATAATCATCTCCAAATTACTTTTAAATATTTAATTCCAGAACAAAACTCAATGCGATTAAGGTTGTTTTTTAATTAATTAATGTTTATTTTTTTCCAAAAGTATATAATTTTTTTTATGTATTTTAATTATGCATTATAACAATTAAGTGATCACCATTCAAATTTATTTTATGTCATTTTTTCTTATATTTTTATTCTTTTTTTTCAAATGGGTGAAATATCATTCTTTCATCTCTTTTTTCTTTTTTTTTAAACCAGAATCCAATAAAACTAAAGAGGAATAAATGATAAGAATGAGGGGGACCAAACCAAAACTCTTTAAGATGAAAGTCTAAGTCTAAAAATACATAATTTATCATACAAGAAATTCTTAGGTATCTGCTCATGAACATGAGAGAACAACAATTTCCTCTGTCATTTTTCATAACAATAAAAACATTAAATTATCATGATATTAAGATTTCACTCTATCATTTTTAAATTAAAAATAAAATAAAATAATAAATTAAATATTTCACATTCAACAAGTATGTATTTTGTGCATTTGTTCATTAACTTACTATCTAATCCCTCATTTCCTCAAAACATCTCCACCCTCATCTATAACACCTTTGAACCTTGATACATGTCCATCTTCCACAAAACACCATCCTATTTATTTATAATGTCAACCAACGCAATCGACAAGAATGCAAAGCAAGATATGTGTTTTTACTGCAATGATAAGTGTGTCTCTGAAATTATGTTTTTCAGGGGACATATGTTAGACACGATGTCTAAGACAATTTATCTAACTAATTAAACCAGTTTTAGCACGGTATGACAACAACAATGATTAAAAGTAAAAATTATAAAGAACACCAAGGATTGTTAACCTAATTCACTGCAACTTCACCTATGTACGGGGGGCTTTCAACCTAAGAAAGGAAATTCTCTATCAATAATATTAGTACACTTAATCTTAATTGAACACGCCTTGTTCAAAGTCTCCTCCTAATATTATCTAATGTCTTTCTATTTAGAACTCTCCATAAATATGAGAACCCTCTCACTTTCTCTCAATCACTAACCCTAGTGATCAACTCAATAAACAAAAAAGAGAATGTTGAATTATAACTCAACTAAAAAACTAAACTATATGCCTTAAGATATGAATGTAGGCCCTAGAGTGGTGTATAAGATACACAAACAACATACTCAAATAAAATCCTAGCAAAATGATCTTTAATCCTTGCACACACCTCAAACGTTAGGTTTAAGTCTCCTTAAATAGAAATGCAATTTGAGCTCTCCTATGGGCATAAGTTGTGATATTATCTAGATTTGTAGAGAATTTAGTTTTGATTTATTCCACAAAAGCCTCAAAAAAATATGATTTGTTTTTTATTCAAATTCAAATTTAAATATTCAACTAAATCTATTTTTGTGTTTGTTCTTCTCATTCATGGTGTTGATGTGATTTTAGAAGTTCGGTGGTTACAAACTTTACATCAATTTTTTTTAGTTCATATTGTGAATTTAATTGAATTTACTAATAATACCAAACCCTTACCAATATAAATTCAGTACCACTTACCCAAGATTCTATATCGCAATTTTGATGATACTTATTCCTGATGCTATTATAACTCATTATTTGTGAGGATTCTAGTCTGTAATACTTGGGTTTAGTTCCTTATTAAGCAAGTTTTTTAGATCAACTTAAGTTTGTTTTGTTATTTTAATTAATTATGTGAAGAGCATGATAGTATCGCGGCAAAAAAAATGAGATTAAGCTATTGATTAACTTAACTCAGAAATGACTAGAGTCGCAACCAAAATTTATTGTTTCCAAAGGAAAAGGAAAATACCGAGAAAACCCAATGTGAAAAAAGTAAAACAAAAGCAGAGATCAGAGTATGGGGGTTGGTTATGCAAGGGGAAGTTATTAGCATCCCTCACATATATGGTACCCCATAGAAGTCTCTTGAAAATATATGTTAGGTTAAAATCGGGTTATTTGCAAAATAAATTTGAGAGATGAGAAAAGAATGATTTTTTTAGTATTTTTTGTTTGCCAACACTTCAAGAGCCTTGTGCCTACACATCCTCCATATGCCATGAAGAGTAAAAACCTCGTAGTTCATGGTTAAAAGAACATGGTGGTTTGTTAATTGATTTCGAGTGGAAAACACAACTTACTCTCACAAGTATGAGAAACTGAGCATTTGCATCATTTTGAAATGGAGAACTTTACTTGTATTTTCTAAATAAGCATGTCTCAACATTCAAGTGGAAAATTCCAGTCACTTCACAATCATCTAGTGAAAGTATAGAAGTTTACATCACTGCAAGAACAAACTAATATCCAATCTTTGATAAAAGGTTTTAAAAGAAAAAGTGCACAAAGGCACAAAAAGAAAGTTTGATAAGGTTTGTTTCTTTTTTGAGAATTTTTATAGGGTTTGAGTATGCTTAAGTATTTTAGCATTTATTAAGAAAAATATTTTCTCGATCACTTGACAAATTCAAGGTTTATTATAAAAGGTTTGAAGTTTGAAAATAATGAAGTTTTTAAAAAGAAAGAAGTTTTGAAAATTGAAGAAGTGGGTAGGAGATGAAGAGACTATCTTAAAGCATAAAGTAAATATCAAGGAAATAAATGATCTCATTGTAAGGTAGCCAGAAAGGAAGCCTTTTGTGTGAAAATGAACTAACCACAAGATGGAGAAAGCATTTGTCATATGTCAAAATGAGAATTCATTTCCCTTTGGAGTAAGCCACAAGATAAGCAAGAAGATCCAGATGAAAACACAAAGAGTCAGATGAATCACACAACATCAGATAAAATACTAAGGTATCAGGTGAATTCCCAAGGTTTCAGATAACACCCAACATCAAATAAAATATGAAACACCAGATGAAAACCAAGAGTATCAGATGAAAATCCAAAGTCTCAGATGAACAGTCCAGATTAATTTTAGGGCATCGAATGAAAATCAAAGCAAAGGTACTATCCTAAGTTCAAAGTCCAAACTCCTTAAGCAAGGGATAGTACCAAAAGCCCAAGATTAAGATCCATGTTTTTTAGGGTTTTTACTTTATTAATGTCTCTCAATGAAAAGAAAAAAAAGGCCAAAGGGAAAAGGAAAAGGAATAAAATAAATGACATAAAGATAAATGACATGAAATGTAAATGATTGAAATTTAAATGGCATAAAATTTAATGTTAGAATTAATGTTAGTAAGATCACCTGATTCGGGACAATTTAACGCTATGTTAAGCAATAGTAAGTTTACTTATGTAGAAGTAGCACCTATAAGAGGTCAGTCAATAGTAATTTATGTGTCATATATGTTAGAGAAATGGCACAAGTCACTCTACTAAAACAATACAACACAAGTCAAAACAAAAGCAAAAGGAAAAAAGATGAAGAGAGAAGTGATCAAACACAAAGGCAAAGAGATTAGATCATTACTTCAATCAATTTCTTCATAATACCATGAGACAAACTTATCATCGATCCAAAGTACCAAAAGTGATCCAATGATCATTTAATGGTAGATTTGAAATGAATAAGTTTCATCAAGCATCAATCCAAACCTAATTAAATGAATCAATAATCAACCAATTGATCAAAGTAACCAAAAACCAAAAAGAAGAAGGACGTGAAGAGAAAATGTGCAGCCAAATCGACTCACCACATGAGGGAAATTTATCATAAATTTAAATCACCTCTCTTGATGTCTCAATTGGACAAACCTATCATCAATTGAAAGTACAAAAAATTAACCAAATGATCATCTAATGATAAGTTTGAAATGATAAAGATCCATGCAACCAAGGTATCATCCAAAATCTATTGATATTGATGAAGCATTTGATCAATCAAGTTACGATCCAAGTCAACAGAAGTCAAACCAAAAATATATGAAGAATAGTCAAATAAAGTGATTTTAAAATGGTTTAAAAAGGAAAATATAAAGGAAAATTCAAAAGATGCATCAAAACATCAAATAAATGTCTACAAAAATTTGAGAAAGTTAGAAAAATTCCAAGGATTAAGATCTCGAAATTTTGGATAAAAAATATTTCAAGAAAACTATTTTGGGAAAAATTTTGAGAAAATCATTTTAAAATTTTGAGAAAATCACATAAGGTAGAAAATATTTTAAGAAAACTATGGATAAAATTTGAAGTGAAAATTCAATTCGGAGCTAGTTTTAATGATTTTTGAAAGAAAATGAAACAAAATAGAATTAAAAAACAAAAAGAATTAAATATCCAACTGCTAGCAAAGGTGTCACGCGCTGATTAGCCAGAGGATGTGAGTTTCTCTCCACAGGGCGCGAACACCTTCATCTTCAACCTTAGAACCCTTTATTTAACAGGTTCATAAATTGGAATTTTAAGCTCCAACACTCATAGTGCAAGCTTCATATTCCTTCATCGTCCATGTCTCTCTTCATCTTGAGAATCATGGTTGACCAATATTTGACCTTGAGCATCAAAAACCCTAATTTAGGAAACCAAACTTGATTTTTTTGATTCAAAGTCCTACCTTGCAAAACAAGAAAAGGAAACAAAGAATATTTTTTGTATTTTGAATAAGGGTTAGCAAAAATAGAAAGATAAACAAACGTTAATGCAAGATAAAACACATAAAGGGTGCTTGATGATCTCTCCTAAGGGTGAACCACAAGGATGAGGTTAGAAGAGTACCATGTTTGTGATATTTGGCTAAAGACCAATGATATGATGAGTGGAATCATAGGGGTAAAAATTAGGGTATGACAAATGTCCCTATTTAAGTTTATCCTATCCAGAGATGTGAAGATAGGAACTATTTGTATCAAAGGGATTGAAGATAGTTAAATACATTATACGTGATTTTTAGCCCTAAGATGTTGTATGAAGCTTATGACATGAATGTGGTAGAAAGTTGGACTCTGCAGGAGAATACTGCAGGAGACAAACTC